GTACTCGTGAGGCTAGACGACTAGTGTGGCCTTTGAGGTACGTTTGTTCCTTGTGTATCATCGTGTGATACCTTGTTGTGTACATTGTGATCAATCGAGAATCGGACACAACAATTGGCGACGGGTATTTCACTCAACCCACGATGTCCATATCCACGGAAGAACTGAAGTCAATCCTGCAGCAGCACCTGTTGCAGTTCGAAGCTGTGCTACGGTCACTCAGTCTTCAGTCACCGAACGTCTCCAGTTCCAGACAGGTCACACCAGCAGAGGTGATCGCGGCGAGGATCACCAAATTCATCTACGATCCAGACTCTGGCATCACATTCGACTCGTGATCCACCAGGTGAGAAGACATTTTCCGAGTTGAATTTTCCAATGAATCTGACGATTAGAAGGTCCGATTACGCATATGCAAACTCGGTGCCAAAGAATACGAGCGGTACAAGAGCACTATCCTACCCAAGTACCCCAGAGACTTTTCATTTGACGAAACGGTCAAACAACTTTCAGACACATTTGGCGAGAAGGTAACGCTGTTCAATATCCGTTATCAACGCTTGAAGCATGTGAAAAATGATATTGATGATTTCCAAACTTATGCAAGCCTTGTCAATCAGGAGTGTGAAAGGTTCAAATTGCGCTCAGTGACCGAAGAGCAATTCAAATGTCTCATATTAGTGTGTGGGCTTCAGTCACCCAGATACGCTGAAATAAGAACCCGGCTCCTGAACACCCTCGAACAGGATCCAAACGCCAACCTGTGAACGTTGACCGCCGAGTGCCAGAGAATATTGAACCTCAAGCAAGACTCTGCCCTCGTTCAGGATTCCGAGCGCCCTGCCAGGAATGTGCACACTGTATCTTTCATCAAGTCCCCGGATCCGCCGAGATCCCGCCACTCCAGCATCGACAACAAGCGCAAACCGCCTTCATCATGCCACTTTTGCGGCTCTTGGCATTTCCACAGATTCTGTTCATTCCGACAACGTCGGTGCCAACAGTGTCACAAAATGGGTCACAAAAAAGGTTTCTGTCCGCTTCAAACGAGCCGCCGATCAAGTCCGCGTTCATCGTCCAAGCCGCGACGTCCTCGTCCATCGCGCAACCGCGCCAGCAGCCTACTTGCCACGTTCAAAGTAGACGCAGCCTCCTATCGTCGACTTGCGTCTGTGCACATCAACAACCATCCGGTCCGCCTCCAAATCGACACGGCGTCCGACATAACCGTCATCTCTCGCCGTCTATGGCAGTCTTTGGGTCGTCCTACTCTCCATCCGATAACTGAAACTGCCACCGGTGCCTGCGGTGGATCCCTGAAGCTACTCGATAGAGTAGCCTGCACCGTCACTTTCAATGACATCTATCGTAGGAGACTGCTTTGTGACACAAACCCACCTCAACCTAATTGGCATTGATTGGCTGGAACCA